AATTATCGAGTTCCAACAAAATAAATAATTATTATCTTTAAAAAAATTATATTATTAAACCAAATATAAATTACTTCGTTATTGTACATAAATTAAATTATAACAAAATTGAATTAAAAAAATACAAAAAAATGAAGAATTTCAAATAGTTAATTTGATACTAATATCGATATATTTTTGTCAAATTTTTATAATATCTTCAAACATATATTCTATTAAAAAATAAAAACATTATCGCTTTTTTAAAATCACATAAAGTCATATTATAACATCGACTGAGATAAATAATAAAATGAAATATTAAAATCACGATGTATCTCACTGCATTACGCGTATACACTTCTAGTTTTATATTAAAATATATTTATCAATTAATTTTATGAAATTTAAAAATAAAATCTTAAAAATTGATAATATATTAAGAGAAAGGTTCCAAAAAAAACTGATAAGCATGAATGACTCTTATTCTATATTTCAACAAATAAATCCTCAATCTTTCTAGAATCAAACAAATAAATCTTTAAATTTATTAAAATGATAACAAAAATTAACAAAATTTTATATTTTGAACGATTAAGTTAATAAATAATTTTTTAAAAACATATATCATTAGACTTACAAAACAAAAGAAATATAATATATCATGTCTCTATCCATATTTTACAAATAAGTAGGACGGTACAACGAACTAATAAAACGAAAAAATACACCATTTTTATTAATGATTATTAGAGGTGTTCGCCATGACCATATGATTATCACCTCTTATAATTCTTATTTAAATTTAAAAAATAAATAATAGATAATAAAAATCATTTCTTTTTATTTGTTATATTGAACTTCATAAATGATCTAATGATATGTTAATTGAGAGGTGTATGTTTCTTTTTTTTTTTAAATGTCTCGTTTGGTTTAAGAAATAAAATAAATTTTGGAACTTCTATTTCAAATCTATTCCAATTTCATGTTTGGTTTGTTGGATTGTTCGAATTTGAAATCCTTAAAGAACGTTTAGGATTTCGTGGGATTATATGCATCAAGGTTTTAAAAATGTTAAAAACATTTGTTTTATATTAATCGATTAATAAAAATGTAATTCAATTATTTATAGTTTTTCTATAAATAATGAAATTCAAATCCTACAAACCAACCACACCAAAGATTTCAAATCTATTTCAATCAAAATCCTTTCATAAAATTCAAACCATTTAAAAACAATCCTACAAACTAAACAGCCTATAAATGCAAAAACTTGGTTTAAAAAATTGAATGAAAACCTGATCATTTCAAAGTCTGAGAGCTTCGTTAGGGTTTCTTCGATCTCAAAAAATTTAAATTCTTTATTTTGTTGGATCTCAAAAAGTTTAAGGAAATATTATTTATTTTATGTGTTAACTTAAAATAAAATTGAAAAACTCTGCAAAATAGACAAAAAGGACAGACTTGTGATTCAATGGTCAACGAGAAAACGTAACGTATATTATAAATCTCCTTTTATTCCTATTTATTTATATCTATATATATATATATACATCTCTCTTCAACAAACTCAGATGCAGGGCCATTATTAATCTGTGAAACCATGGGTGCACCATTTCTTCTTACCCTAGTAATACTAACCCAGATAACATCCATTTCTTCTTCTTTCTCAAGCCATGGCTTAACTGGCGGCTCATCTCTATCTGTCGAGAACCAACAACACCTTTTAGTTTCCCCCAACAACCTTTTCACAGCCGGATTTCATCAAGTCGGAGACAATGCTTACGCGTTTGCAGTGTGGTTCTCGGACCAAACCACGTCGGGGGTTCGAACCGTGGTTTGGATGGCTAACCGAGATGCACCGGTTAACGGAAAACAATCAAAACTATCCTTAGGGAAAGATGGTAATCTTGTTTTGGTAGATGCTGGTCATTACGTTATTTGGTCAACCCAGACAAAGGCAACGTCTTCTTCCTTACAACTCCGAAGCTCCGGTAACCTTGTGCTTAGTGACGGAGATCAATCGATACTTTGGCAAAGCTTCGATTATCCGACAGATACCCTTCTTCCAAATCAACCCTTTACTAAAAGCACACAACTTGTTTCTTCAAGAAGTTCTACAAATTGCTCTTCGGGTTTTTATAAGCTTGTTTTCGATAACGATAGCATTCTTCGACTTCTTTATGATAGTCCTGAAACAACTTCTCTATACTGGCCTGATCCCAGGTTACTAACATGGAAAGTTGGAAGATTTCAGTATATAAATACTCGAAGAGCAAGCCTTGATTCCAAGGGTGAATTCCACTCATCTGATGGTTTCACATTCTTATCTGCCGATTTTGGGATGGCAAGGCAACGAATCATGAGGATGGACACAGACGGGATCCTAAGAGTTTATAGTCTCGTTGAGCACGAAAGAGGAACCAAATGGGAAACTCAATGGCAAGCCATTGATCGTACTTGCAGGGTTGATGGTATTTGTGGAGCAAACAGTCTATGTACTTATTCTCAAGATTCAGGTAGAAAATGCAGTTGTTTACATGGGTTCAAGATGGTGAACTCCAAAGATTGGAGTTATGGGTGTGAACCTGAATTCAAACCATGCATCCGAGATGAATGTGATTTCATTGAGCTTCGTGAAGCCGAATTCTACGGATACGATATTCGGATGGGACTAAACTACACTCTTGATGCTTGCAAGAAGGATTGTTTACTGGATAGAAATTGTAGTGGGTTCAATTTGGGATGGAAAGGAAATATGGGATACTCGTACTGTTTCATGAAGACTTCTTTGCATAATGGGTACCAAAATGGGGTTGCTGGGGTGATGTATATCAAACTACCAAAGAGATTAGTATCATCTTTCGATCAAAAAACCATCAGCCTCTCAACCCTGATCTGTCCATCACGGCCTGTATTGACGCCGTTAATAAGATCGTACGACAAAAAACACGATATCAGCAAGCCACTAGGATACATGCTAGTGTTGGGATGCACGATTGGGATCATTGAGATCATCTGCATAGTGGTTTTCTGGTATTTTAGCCATCAACATTCATCTGCAGCAGAGGAAAGTTATTTTCCAGCACCAACAGCGTTCCGGAAGTTCACGTACCGTGAGCTGAAGAAGGCAACACGCAATTTTCGAGAAGACATAGGGAGCGGTGGTGCTTCTGTTGTATATAGAGGCAGATTAAATGACAACAGGATTGCTGCAATCAAGAGGCTCAAGAATACATATCAACAAGGGGAAGTTGAATTTCAAGCTGAGATAAGCACGATTGGGAAGGTGAATCACATGAACTTGATAGAAACATGGGGTTATTGTGCTGAAGGAAACCATAGACTTGTGGTTTACGAGTATATGGAGAATGGATCGTTGGCTGAAAACTTGGGGACCGGTAAACTTGATTGGGCGACAAGGCTTGATATCGCAACGGGTACTGCCAAAGGACTTGCTTATTTACACGAGGAGTGTTTGGAGTGGGTTCTACATTGTGATGTGAAACCCCATAACATATTGTTGGATGCTAATTATAATCCCAAAGTGGCAGATTTTGGTCTTTCCAGATTGTTTGATAGAAGTGGTATCAACCAGTCAAATTTCTCCATGGTTCGAGGGACTCGAGGCTACATGGCTCCCGAATGGGTGTTCAATCTTCCGATTACCTCAAAAGTTGATGTATTTAGCTACGGGGTGGTGATATTGGAGATGATAACAGGAAGGAGTCCAACAGGCAAGCAACATACAAGCAACGAAGATGGCAAGGCTGAGTCTTCGCTAATTGAGTGGGTGAGAGAGAGGATTCAAGACGCGAACGGGGAATCATGGGTCGAGGATATCATAGATCCTTCAATAAGAGGCGAATATGATCGGACCATAATAGAAAATCTGGTTAGGATTGCACTGCATTGTACCGAGGAAGACAGGGATGCAAGACCCTCCATGAGTCAGGTTGTTGATATGATCCAAGACCCTCGATGAGCCTGGTTTCAAAATCATATACGGAACTCGCCTCTCTTACCAGGTTGAAATATGTTGGCTTTTCATTTTCATGCAGTAGACTGTTCTTAGAGGCATTTTGTCAAACATTTGGAGGGCATAGAATGGTGGCTGTTTACAGCATCCCTAATATGTTTATGCTGTTACATATATGCATGATGCATCTAAATATAAACTTATTATGACCCATCTCATGATTATATAATTCTACGAGCACATAAAATACGATTTAGCATGTATACCAGTTTTAAAATAACGCACGGAACTCACCTCCATAGGTGAACAAAAAGCACTCTTAAATGCAGTAGCGAGATATTAAAAAAAGGGAATAAATGAGCTTCAATGATGATGAAGATATATATATATATATATATATATATATATATATATATATATATATATATATATATATATATATATATATATATATATATATATATATATATATATATATATATAGGCCGACTTTGTACTTGAATCAACTTACCCTTCTTTCCGCTTCGTGAAAAAGAAAAGCTTCAATGCACGAGTGGGCAAAACACAGAAAAGGCCCGATGAAGGAATGAAGGATGACCTGGTGATAGCTATCCACCCCGAACCAAGACGCTCGTCCAGTCCGTAAAGGCTGCGAATTAATTTGGTCCGCATATCTAAAGGGGCTGCTATTGTCACCCCTGTTAGTTGTACGGTACTTCTTTTTTCATTTTTCGGGTTATCACATTAGCATACATAATTATATATTAACTAAAATATATAAAATAAATACGTTCTAATTTTAACAAATTACATTATTATAATCTTCTCGTTAATACATTCGAAACGAACCCAATATAAAATATTTTTTGATTTAATTATATTTTTATGTAATATAACAACAAGGGCGGATCCAGCCTTTAAGCACTGGGAGGAAAGGCCCCAGTCAAAAATCAAAAACTTTTGTTGACTAGCTTAAATTTTATATTTTCATTCTCATCTTACATGGTTTCCCCTTAGTTCCATATGACCATATGCTTCCCTCCCCCAAATCCCATCCAACATGCCCCCACGTTAATAATTTCTTGGATCCGTCACTGATATGCTACGAAAAAAATATTTTTAATACTTACACTTTATACTCTTGTAGTTAATTATGTAATTTATGGCATGTCTCTTTGTTTTTTTTTCATTTTCTGTTTTACACCATTATCATATTAACATACATAATCATATATTAACTAAAATACGTAAAAACATATTTTTTTATTTAACAAGTTACAAGATTATAATCGTCTCGTCAATATATTCATAATGAGCCCATTATTGAACATTTTTTTATTTAATCATACGAATTATTTTTAATACTTACATTTTATACCCTTATAGTTATTTATTTAATTTGTTTTATATATCTTACTTTTTCGTTTTTCATTGTACACCTTTATCAAATTAACATATATAATTATATACTAGAAGAGTACTCGCGCAAAGCAACGAGAGACATCTCGATTTTAATGTTCTATTTTATTATTTATCTTTGTCGATGTTATAATACGATTTTATGTGTTTTTAAAAAAACAATAATGATTTTATTTATGAATAAGATATAAATTTGAAAAAAAAAATATAAATGTTAATATCAAATCAACTATTTAAAAGTTTTAATTTTTTATGTAATTTCTTTAATTTATTTTTTTTATTGTAATTTAATTTAAGTTTAATAATGAAATAATTTATTTTTGGTTTAATAATATAATATTTTATAAAAATAATAATTCAGTATTATGTTAGAACTCAATTATTATCCTAATTATATTTTAGATTTTTTATATTTAAAATGAGATGTTTATCATGTATTTGATTATGTTTATCTGCAGTTAGTTAGACGAATTCAGATATAGAACTTTAATAAGTTGTACTTACGCACAATCTACTTGTAATCTTGAGTTTTAAACAATATGCATTAATAAACAGTATTTTACGCATAAAAAGTGGTTTTTAAGAGTTTTTGTCAAATGTTTTTTAACATAGTATAAATAATATAAATATACAGTTGCTAAATAAGATGTAAATTTGAAGATATCATAAAAATTTGAAAAAAATATAAATGTTAATATCAAATCAACTATTTAAAAGTTTTAATT